TCTGTGTTAATTTGCAATAAATTAATATAACCAAAATTCCCCATGTCAAGCTGGTTTACCCATGACAAACTTAACATTTAGGAAAATCCTTATCTGTGCTTTTCCAGTGTTTTCCTTCAGTCTTTCCAGGGTACTTGTTACATGACAGAACCATCAACAGCATGGCTGCTGGCAATCTTTCACAACTGGACCCTGCCCCATCCACCATGAGTCATCTCACCATGAGTGAAGAGAAAGTGTCTTCATGTGACACAGGGCTTCTTTTCTTCTGCTTTGTTTACCATCCTTACTTAAAATCTCAGAATTGGGAGTTGACTTCTCAGTATTTTTAACAGTACTGGTAGCTTCAAAAGCCAATATCCAAAAGCATTTTACCACATAGTATCAAAGAAGACACCACACTGGTAACAGCTGAGCAAAGCAGACATTTTCAGCATCCAGAAAAAAGTCAGTGCTCCATATAATTGAGACTTTATAAGCTAAAATATTTTTTAAATAATTCAATTTGGATTTCTCAAAAAGGTGATAATTTCATCAAATAAGGTAAAATTCTTCAAGGGGGTTGTCAAAAGACATATTTCTGGCCGAAATGCTCAAACCTCTGGCTTTGTCAGGTATCTGATTCAAAGCATGTGGCTATAAATACTTTTTTATCTTTTTAATAATTAAGAATTAAAATATACATGAAACCGGGTACATTTTTCCTTTTCATTACTCTGAAAAAATGTTCAAATATGGTGCTGGTTTTGTCCAAGCAAACACATTCTGCTTGATGCAGAAATGCACCTGACAAAATTTAAAGCTACCATTTAAAGTCCAGCAAAACCAAAGTGACTAAAAAGGGGGTCTTATTTAACAGTGTCTTATAAAAATAGTTTTATGAGAGTGGAAAGAAAATACAGGCAAATTCAGTAACTGGGGAACTTATAAGGACAATGATTACCAAATAGTAAATTAGGATATTTTGGGAGCTTTGGCGTACTTGAATAAATGCAGCTACACAACAATCAGACAGAAGGGAAAAAATTATTACCATTCTGCAGACCTGGCACATCTCACTGAAAGCCCACAAGAGAAAGCCAAGCTGCAATGGCCCTACACTAATCAAAAAAACCTACAAAGACTGAGACAGGGAGATAGCACTATAAAAATCATAATCACACTCAGGAACCAGACTGAGTGAATTACATGTCGGCCTTTGAGAAGCAAATCAAAACAATCAGCAGAGAAATCCAAGCAGCGTTTGGACATTGACCATTGGAAACTAAGAGCAGTGGCAAGTCTCCGAGATTTTTTCCTTTTTTTTAAAGTGAACTCAAGCAAAGCTAGTAAAACTTAGCAATTGTTAACATACATAACTACAGGTTTCATAATGTCCCATAAACTTTAAGAATTTCAAATTCATTGCTACGGAGCAGTTTATACATTTGTTTTGCAACACACCCATTTTCACACTCAAAGACATCAGAAAAGCAGATTAAAGTTTATTTTTCTTTTGATAAAGAAGTTAAGAAGATTTTGGCAGCTTGCCATCAATTTGACCCCATCTCCTAACTTCCCCCTGCCCAAATACTATAAATTAATCTTACATTGGTTAAGGGGAAAAAAACCTGAAAAACTTCCAACATTCAAGTCCTTTGGCTGAACCTCTCAGGGGCATATCCCATGGTGACAATCGTTAGTCTTGACTATCTCAGCTGGCCTCTTCCCCAAAACTATGCCTATAGCACAAACTTCCACTTTCTTCTCTTGGTCTAGATGTTACCATGATCCACAATTTCTTTTTCATGTTCTCCAGAAATACCTACCATGACACTCTTGTTCTGGACTAGCTGCGGGTCTCAGACAAGGATATCTGCAGAGTAACCTCATTCATGTGAAGTCAGTCCAGATTCCACTATGAAGCCTAAGAGCAGACTATGGGCCTACAAAGTTAGCCCCACAAATCAGCAGTTAAATCCAAAAATTATTCAAGGAGGGGAAAGTTTTAGTTGATTTTGGCTCCAAGGCAGATTAGATGAAGGTTTTTATAACTTGTCTGCCTAGCAGTGAATATACAAAACAGTGAACAAATAATACAAGGGGACTCTCACCTTACAGACAGTTCAGTGAATTGTACACAGGTTTTCCTAGGCCACTTTTTAACGTAATGCTAAGAACATTGATATCCCAATCTTCCTTCAGAAAATTTAACCGCTTATTTTCTGACAGTGTCTCTGCAGTAGTTTTCTACAATGCTAAATCCCCAGCTTCTTCACTTAGATAAATGCCCAACTGAAATGATTTTTCAGAACTTTTCTTCCAAAAATGGAGGAAAGTTTCAGAGTTCTTAACAAGTCTGAATTTCATGAAACAGAAAGCTGGTTGTTACATCACTCTGTGAAAAAATATTTATATTGGCTCTGGCTTTAAGGCTACATTTCTCAGTTCATGCAAGTGGCAGGAAACACACAGAATCTAATCAAGAGATAGTCCACAAGGCTTCTTAAATGAAATGTTAAATAAAGAGTTCTTATGAAAACAAAAAGATGCAGCTCAGGAAATGAGCTTGGTCATCTCACAACTCTGTTGTTCCACAGCCAAGCATTGGCTGAACATTAGATTATCATTGTAAACAAAACGCAGGGAAAAAAATACTAGCAGGATTTACCCTAAAAGTAAGTCTGAAGAGCACCTAAGTGACTTATGAGGCCCAGCTTTATTTTTGAATCTGACTTAAGAGATTAATTCAGATCTTAATGAAAACAAGGGAATGTAGGTTTTCAAGTAATGCACTTTTAAAGAATTTACGTAAAATGTAAAATATGGTTTTATGCACAAGCCAGAAAAACCAGCGAGAAAATATATTTACAAAATGTGAACTGAAGAAAAATCCTTTCACGTAGGAGAGTTCTTCAGTGCAGAAGGTCGGTGTTACTAGAAAATAAATAACATGAAAGAGGCGGAAGAGGACAGGGGAAATTGCTCTGCAGAAGAAAAACAAAGAACAGCAGTCACAAACTTCTCATGAACTCCTGAACTACCAAGTTAACCAAGGTAATCTATTGCTCTCCTCCATACTTCTAGTCCAGCCCTTCTTTCATCTCTTTGCCCTCGATGCTGTAACTTGTGTGCATTTGTAAGGGTGAGCTATGAATTACCACAGTGAATGTGATCTCTGAGTTTCCAGTGGGGCTCTCAAACTGGTACACATCAGCCTCAGACAAAGCATTTTTTCCAGATTTTGCAAGTGTGACAGCAGTGTCTAGTATTAACATCGTTGCCTCTGTTTCTATTTGACAGCATGAGTGCATTTACATTTCAGGGAAAGCCCATACAAAGGGATGGCTTTGGAGCTTGGCTCCTGTATGCGCTCCTAGCTCATAACACAACAAAATTAATAGCTATTTTTATTTCATCTGGCAGGGAGTTTTGCAGCCGATGTAGGATTGCATCTCCTGTGACCACAGGGTTTCTCAGATTTCCCAACAGTTTAATTGCTCTATGCTACGTGAGGTTGCATTTTCTGAGAGAGAAGGAGCTATCTCATACAGCCAGGGCTCTGCAAAGCAGCCAGCATTCCTGAAACAGTCTTTGTTCAGTGACTACTAGGAAAAGAAAATTTGTAAAATTTCAGTGGGTAAAGAACCACAATCAAACAAAGAGCTTATGCTTGAAAATTATTATCAGATAAACTAATGAAGGACAAGAAATTTAAAGCAAAAACTTGAGTATGGAATTATTTAAGTGTCTTCATTTCTGATATTAAAATTCTATAACCCCTTTATTTCTAGAAGGGGAAAAGGCGGGAAGGGGCAAAAGAAAGAGACAACCAAGTGAGTTGGATGTCTGGACAAACTATGAAACAAGGACAATCAATGAAAATACATGTTTTTACTTTCCTCTCTTCCTGAAGGAATTAATGAAACTCTTGAACTTTGGCCTCTTTTCTAGGCTAGAGCAGCAAAGAGACTGCCTGACAACCCACAGCAATGCTGATGGAAGATTTTAGTGTGAGAACACAGTGTGCTCGCTTGGCATTGCATTCCCTAGAGGGAATATTGTAGACAGCATATAGATTAAATTTATCTAGATTTGGACATTAAGACACATACTTGGTTCCTTGATAGAAAAGATCAAGAGAGGTCATTCTACATGTGGTTTTCTTTGTAGGTTTATAATGCTTTTGCCTTTCTCATTCCTTTTTATGGCATTATTGTTGCATACCAGACAACTATTCCATCTTTCCTAGTGATGCTGCTTAGACAATATAAGAAGCTTGTGTCAGGAAAATAATCAGGATTCTCTGAAGAACTCAAAGGCCTTTCAGCATGTTTCATAATTGATTTCAAGTGTCTGATGAAAAGTCCCTGTGACAAAACAAATTCCTACCATAGGAAAACCAAAACTTCAAGTCTGAAATGAGAGTTTTCTGGGATTTTCTAGTTTTACATGAAATGGCGCTATGCAGTAGGAATCCTCAGCACTGCACCAGCTAATAACAACCAGCTAAAGTTGTCTGCAGCCATTGCCTTACAAACAATAAAAAGAGTCACTTTTAAAGAACAGCGCAAAAACAGTTTCAGGTCATTTACCCACTGGCTTTTCCTGTCTGGAATGCCTTTCAGAGTTTTGGCTCTGTTGACACTGCAAGTTAAATGAAATAAAAAATCCAAACAGAAGCCACAAAACTCAGCAACTCAGTCTTTTTGATCTACCTAAGTGTTTTTATGCCTGCTCATCACCATGGGATTCAAGTGCTCCTTTTCACACTTCAGTGTTTCCAAAAGAATCAAGTCATGGTAAGACCATAATACTTGAGTGGCTGTTGCAAGGAAAGATTGCTTTAGAGAACAAAACCAGTCCTCTTCCCTAGAAACAGCCCTGAACAAGACAAAATAGAGGTAGAATAGGAGGGAAAGTAACAGGGCAAAAATATTTCCTTGGCAAAAAGATTAGTAGAGTTGGCAACCTATGGAAGCAGAATTGTAAAGAGTTGGAAAAAAATGTTTTCCTCTAACCTTCAAGTGCAAAGAGGTCACAGTTCTTCCAAAGAGCTTCCCTTGGGATAATGTGAATATGGATCATCCCATACTTCAGGGATTGAATAACCATCTGAAAGGAGAATAATTTGAGATAAACTGAGATTAGTTTCTTGCTAATCGACATCTGCTTGGAAAATCTAGTGCAAGGGTCATTTGGCTTGCTATGTTAATGATAATTCTGCCAAGAACAAGTATCAAAACACTAAGAAATTTGTAAGGATCTGGCACATTACATCCTGCTTAATAAATTCAGAGATTTGAACATGACAGCATATTGTAATGTAGTAATATAATACAGTAAATGTGCAGAACCATATTCAGCCCATAACAGACCCAACACTGATTTCAATACACATGCTTACTACAATCTGAATGAATTATTTGAATACATACTTAGCTGAATATGTACTAACAACACTACATATGAAATGAAGAAAAATTGTGCTCCTTTTTTCTCTGTACTATATGCAATTGGAGGAAAAATGTCTTTTTTTATACATATTTGTATAAATATTTTTGCAAAAAGAAAAGTATACATTTAAATTTGGGGCAAGATTAAGACCTGGCTGCCATGCTTTAGTTAGCATGAGTTAACAAAAACAGCCATTCCAAAAGAGGTAGAGTAAGCTTTTTGATGAGGGGAAAGCAGTGAATCAAAGAGAAGATCTGTTTGAGTCACCCAACAAAGACAAACCAGTTGGGGACAATGAAGAAAAGCATAACCACCCAATGAAGAATGGGATAACCACCAAGCATTAGCTTGGGAGAGGCAAGTTACTATTAGTTTCTTGATCCCCCCCCTGGCCCCCCAGCTAATGGTGAGACTCATCACATAATGGAGTGCCTGAAAAACATCTCCCTGGCTGTCTTACATTGTTACCTGGGGTGTCAAAATGAACATCCTGGATAAAAATCCTCATTCTGGAAGTTCCACTGGCAAAGTTTCATCATGCATCTTCCCCTAAAGGAAGGAAAGTTTTCAATTACCAGAGATTAGTCATGGTATTTCCGCTGGGATAGGCTAACCACCACAATCATCTTTTCACTCCTACAGAACACCTGATGAGAAGACTGTGGACAGAGCAGGATTGCATCTGGAAGGACCACAGGCTAGGCATAACATTTGACAATCCCTATGCTTCCACAAGATAGAAATGGAGAGGCATAAAAGAAATGGATATAGACTAACAGATCCTGTTCTTGTTCCAAAAATGGAGCTGCATGAAGAGTGAAAGTTTTCTCTAAGTTCCTCTCTCAGTAGCAAATGTGAGAGAAGTGACCCAATGCTATTTGGTCATTCAAGACACAAGCATACCTCATTGGCCACATGGAGAGAGCTGGTGGAGGCGGAGGGGAAGCTGGGCAGTGTGGAGAGATGGCTTGCTAATCCTGTCAGGAGAAAAAGTGTTTCGTGTCACTCAACAGCATCTCCGCAGGGCAGTTACGGGAGGAGCGCTGACAGCCCCTGAAAGGAATCACCTCAGACGTCCTCCAGCAGGAAGAGGTCGGCTCTGACGAGAAGCTTATAGGGTAGGGGAGATGAAAGTATGGGGGAGGGACATCTGGGCTCCATGTAGGATTTCACCTTCCTCTGCCTCAGAGCAGTCCTGCCTGCTTCCAGCTAGCCTGTCCTTTCGGATCCCTTCAAGAATCACTTCCGTCGCTCTCTCATTCCCCAACTCTCAAAATTTAAACTTGCCAACCCTGCTGCCAAAATTAAAGACAGAAATAACACTGGATTTGAAAGCAATTTCAACATAAGGAATAGCTGCAGGGACAGATCAGGGATTCTTGCCACGTGTGACACAGAGTACCTACCATACCACAGCACACGCTGATAAGTACATTTTGCAACCGATGTTACAGACTTATCCTGCTTTTCTTTAGAAAATGCTTAGTCAGGCACTTGCAGTCAGTGGTGCACTTGAATGGTTCTCAGCAGGAGAAATAGTAACTAAGTGTAGACAAAGAGGTGAAACATCTACCAAAGGGATAAAGTCACCCAAGACATCACCAGGGTTAAATAGGGTTAAATAAGATGGCACCTCAATCACATCATAAATGCCTATATTGTCACAGAGTTACCATCTCCAATGTACAAACCAGAAATCATACAAAATAAATGTAATTTACATTCTACCTGAGGGCCACAAATCATCCCTGAGTTCATGGGATTCATCATCCCCACACCATGACAGAGCACTCCAAGGGATCAGAAATCATACAAAATAAATGTAATCTACATTCTACCTGAGGGCCACAATTCATCATCCCCACACCATGACAGAGCACTCCAAGGGACAGGCTGTTCAGCTGTGGCCAAAGACCTAAATCTTCCTCCCAGAAGACACTTCCATGTTTTAGAAACACAAAGGTGTCTGGGTTACAGTTGGGCATTTGGGTTTTGATGCAAGATATTCCTTACTGTCTAGGAGGTATACAGCATTTTTAATGCAGTACACTGCCTACTATTTGCCACTGTCTCAATGGCAGCAGCCACACATCCCTCTCAGGGACCCTCGTCCTTCTCTCCCAGGCCCTCAGAACCCCTTGAAAGAGACAATAATTCTTGCCTCAAAAAGCAAGTGAAAACTGCTTTTTCTAACAGACAACATCATATAGGGCAGCCCCTCATCCATCAATGGGAAATAAAATTCAGGAGGTCTAGCTGCTCCTTTGCCTCAGTTGCACTTCAACATCACATTTTCCCTGCTTTGGTGGATTAAAGCTGAAAGGCTTTACAGGAGATATGTCTGTTACAGGAATGTAAACAATAAATAATTATAGGAAAGACAAAGAAAGACTGATTTATTGAAGACTATTCACTACTAGAAAGTAAATAACTGAACTTTCAATTTAAATGGACATTTTTACTGCCAATAAATCTGCTTCCGCAGATATGAGAAGAGACTTCATGTAGTACACAGAAAAGGAAAAGTTAGAGAAATTCAGAGAGTGCCAGTGAGCAGACAGGGCCAGACTCTTGATAGATGCTGTTGGTTTAGACCAACCTAGGATTGTTTATATGCTCATCTGCCATTGAATGAGTATAGTGAGATAGAGCAGACGTAAACAAATTGCTGTTGAGTAAGGGAAAAGGAGCCACATGCTTATCCAGCAGCCTTCACATCACCAAATCTGCAAAGACCTTGATACTTACTTTGCCCAAATATGGACTACCAGGACTTTTGAGATAAGCTCCTAAAGTTAGGTACTGCATCTATTTTTATGTTTTTAAATATTTTTCTTTGAAAAAACATTTGAGTCCCCAGCAGTCCTCCTGGTCCACAAAAAGAAGTGGCAACTTTTAGCACTACATCACTGATGTACCTTTGTGGATTCTGATGAAGATGGGTCTGTGGACTGATATGCATATCCAGAACCATAATCCAGGAATGTTCAGTATTGGCCACTGCCTGCCTTGTTGTGAAAGTTCTCCCAAAGCACCAGAGATCAAATTATGGTTACTAGACAGAGAACCCCACTGTAAATGAGAATGGACTGATAGATCTGATGGGCCACCACAAGAACAGTAATTGCACCTGGCTTATTACCTGAATCAAGTGCTACATCTGACACATCAGGAGCTACATTTGGACACATCTGGTTTCTCATGAAGATGAATGTGACCTGAATTTCTTATCACTTCTGATAAATATTCAGGACAAAACCCCAGGTACCTTAATATCCTTTGCCAATTTCTGCTCTGCAGTTTCTATACAGTGCAATGCTAGAAATAACACAATTTTCTTGGTGTACATGGATTATTTCAACAGCCTAGAGAATTTAAAACCTACCACCTTAATTTTCACCAGCTACTCCCTCTAACTGTCCTTTTCCAATGAACCAAATATTATTTATTTTTGATCTAATTTCCCACAAAATCAAAGTACAGTTGACACTCCCCAAAGTAACTTAACAGATATGGATATATCTGAAACATGTGAACTCAGGAGAGATTTGGAAAGTTTTATGTATGTGAAATAATTGAATTCACACACCACTGACTTTTATATCAAAGGATGGCCACACAAAATGCTGAATGTGATTCCTAAGTGGTGAGATCTTAGGTTTCCCTCTGATCTGATGGACAGTCTTAACAATTTCATGGAATGTGATCTATCCCTCAGGCTTAAAGTGAACTCTTAACAGGTCATCATTTTAAAGCTCCAAAACATGTATTTGTGGGCAAGACTTGCAAATCTAAAAAGTTTTTGTATTAATAAAATGATAGAATAAGACAAATATGGTAGAAAGGAGAGAAGATAGACATACATCCTGCATGCTTTTTTATATTTGTTTTACTGTTATACTTAATTTTATTTTCAGTTAGTCTACCTCTGAGATTTCTATTTGTTTCCTTTAAAATTAGTAATCCTCACTTCAACAGTAAATTGGGTAAGATTATTCTGCATCCACGTGCAAATACAATGGTTCTTCCCAAACACATAGAATATTTTTAGTCATGGCTGATGAATTTCAAGAGCTCCCCCTGTTTTGTAACCACATACAAGAAATCCACATTTCTATGGCCAAATCAAGCAGATTGCAAACTTTTCTCTAGACTTAGAGCAGGCTTTGAAGTCAGAGACTCAGAGTGATGAAATTAAAATGCAATAGGACATTAGTTCACCGAGTTCATGTACCAGCAAAAATCTGTTTTAAGATTTGAAACTGAAGTTAAAAGCACAATAAAGATACAAATTCCTGCTAATCTGAAACTTTCTCTTTCTCACCTTGTCATAAAAGCCCTTTGTGCCTGTAGCCACAGTCCCTTATCTATCCTGCAGACTCTGCCAAAAGGAAGCTGACACCTCATCAGAAGATATCTGGGGAGAATGGTACTGCTTGAATCCTGCCTCTATCTTCAGAATGATATTTTAGTCTATAAGGCATGGCAAAGGATTTCCACAGGAGATGAATCATCAGAAAATGTAAGCGAACAGCTCATAAAGAACATGTCCTCCTCATAACCAGACAGTTGGTTTTCAGTTTCATGTTCTAACTTTTAAAAATGAAAAATTCAACTGGGACTGCATCTTTGCCTAATGTCTCTGAATTCCATTTCCCTAACTGCTACCCTGGAATTAGAACCAATTTCATAATCATTATAAATGCAAATAGGGTTTTTTTGTTCACTGCCAATACTACTTTGGTAGTTGCATAACTTTATAGTATTAAATGTTAGCTATCCCCCTTAGCAGAGGCTGAGGACTACAGTTTTTCTAAGAGATCAGGGTGGGCAAAGGCAGCCAGGGCTGTCTGTGAGAGAGTTGAGCCTGCTCAGCTACCATGTGGCTTCTGCAGTGCCTGTAGGACCTTGCAGGACAAGACTCAGCAGGCACCAGTTAAGCTGCAGTAAAAAGATACCCTTTAGCAGTAAAAATAGACACAGAGCCACTTCACTCCTCCTTTCTTATTCATTAGCAATATTTCCTTCTTTCTTTACCCCGTGTATTTACATAGCATTTCTGCAAAAGAAATCTTGGACGTCTCAGATTTTTTGTTCAGCCATTGTTTCTGACCACTTGCATTTCACAGTGCAACTTTTCACAGATGCCCCTTTAATGCAATATTTTGTTCTAGATAAACATATCTGTGTTTCAGCAGAAACACAGATAATGATGATATGGAATAACAGAAATTAATGACAGGTAATACAATCTTTATTCAGGAGCATCTTTTATTGTGCGTGGCACACTAAAAATATTGTTCTCCTAAATACTCAGGAAAAACAAAACTTGCAGTTAGCAAACCCTTTAAGTGTGTGCTTTTCTTTAAGCCTTTCTTCTTAAGAAAGTCTTCCAAATGTTTGCTGGAGTAGTCATGTGCCTGGACTTAAGCATGCTTAGAAATACTTCACTGGACTCAGAGCCAAAATCTGTTTGCATTATGGTTCAGGAATAGCAACGGACAGAGAACAAAAGGAACAGTTATTCAGAATTTGGACAAATAGCTGTAAATACATTTTTTGGTGTTATTAAGTCAATATTGGCTCTGCTCAGCATGCACTGACTGAACTCACAATCCTAACAATCAGAGCTGAAAAACACAGACCATGGACGTTTATTGATTTAGACAAGATCACTCCTCGCAGGAGAGTAAGCCTCTAGTTTTACAGACCTTTTAATTCCCTGTACACCATTCCTTTCCCTTTTACAAATCTCCTGCTGTGAAACTCTAAAGCACTCTTGAGACACTAGAAATCATGGAACTAGCTCTGCAAATTGTCCATCAGCCAAAAGAGGAAGCAACTCCCAAGACCAAGGAGTTCAGCTGTTGCTATCCACGCTGGTTTTGGCCAAAAATAAAGCAACAGCCACCACATACCAAAAACCAAAATGTTGTTGCAAAAGATATAATAGTTGCAGATAATTGGGGGTTTTTAGTGTTACCCTCTAACCACCTCCCAACACCCCAAAAAAAGGTACCAAATATCTGGGCTATCTACTGGCAAAAAATATAATTTCTTACTTTAGGCAAATCCAACATTCCATGCAAATGGAAATAATTTCTGCAATACAAAAAGTCCTTTCAGAAAATACTGAACTGATTAGTATTATGGAAAAGTGGAACTAATTACTCTAGTGATATAACAAAAAAAAAAATGAAGTTAAAAATTAAAACCATTCGATTCTTGCAAAAAATAATGGCGTATTTCCCATACATGCAGCCTCTGTGGAACTCATGTAAAGGTATGAGCAAGGTAACCATGAATCTCCCTAAGCCATAAATGCAGGTCTCTTTGGAAATCCTTAAGGACCAGGAGTGTACCAAAAGCCCACACAAAATGTTCATGCCTAGGCTCAGTTACTCTTCAGGAACCCCCCAAAAAGGGCCAGTTTGCTCCCTAAAAATGAGGTTCACCAGCACAAGCCTTATCTGTTCTTCCAATCCCATGTGAGCTCGAGGCAGAGACCTTTCACTGGCCCTTCACTCCATGGTAAATTTCACTTTTGGAAAACAGAGGCCATGGGCTTGTCTGAACAACACGTGCCCCTTTTTTTTTGAAAGAAGACTGTCAAGGCTACAGAGCCAACTCATTAACCTATCCCCTAGCAGTTCCATCTGGATGGTCTTATCTGTAGGAATCTGGCCTTTCATTTATTTTTTCAACCACCATTTGTGACAGAGTTTCTTAAAAAGCAGACTCATGACTTATTATTAGCACATGGGCAGGTCAGCACACAGGTTTATTTGCTGTTAACCAACATCCTAACATGCTGTGTTTAAAATTTCCAAAGGGACTATGAATAGGCTGTAAAAGTAGGAGGTTGAATTCCTGAAGATAAGAACTTGTGATGGGACCACTGTCAAAGCAACGCATATTTTCCTCTGATAACCCTTGAAAATCACTATGCAAAGACGTATAGTTCAAACATATATGAGTCCCTGACAATTCCCTTTTTAAAGACACTTTGATGACTGGCCTGTAACACTTCAGCCATGCCATTTAGGGAATAACAGGGAAAAAATAAAGCCTTAAACTTTGAAAATGTACAGCCCCTCCAGAAAAGGCAAAAGAAGGGGAGAAGCTAGGATCAAGAGAGAAAGGAAGTCAAAGAGGTAAGAGAAAAAGAAAATATTCCCACTAAAACATATGCAGCACAATGCCTGCAGGCTGTTACGGAGGATAAATACTCCCATTTCTCTTGCCAGGGACAAACCCTAAGAACAGGGGTGTGACCAGAAGGACACTGGGGACTATGCCCGGGAGGCAAGATTCCATTTTCTACCTGTGATATCTATCAGATCTCATGCCGTTCAGAGCTTCACCACTGGAAACACTCTCCAAAGTAGCCATGTCCCTTATTTTCAGTGTATCACGCATACACACAGCTGGACACCACATCCCAGGAAATTATTCCTAGTGGAAGAAAAAAACACAGCATCACCTCCAGAAAAAATTATCCACTCGCTGGCTTTCATCTTGTGCAGAGCAATGAAAAGTCTGGAGAGAGATAAATGTCTGTTATACCGGGATTTACACATTTCATCCAGACAATTGACTTAAATTTCAAGCATGAGGCCAGAATTGATCATTTATCAAGTTAATCTTTGTGATATATTTAGTGTCTAACCATAATACCTTCAATTGCTTTCACAGTCAGCAGAGACTGGGCAGGAGGAGAGCACCTGTTAAGAATCAAGACATGAAAAAGAGCTATGCAGTAGATTGGAGTTATAAATACTGGCCTCAAACCTGCAAACTCTTGGCATCCATGGAGAACCAGTGTGAATGAAGCTACAACTGGTTGCCTTAGTGGTCTGATAATTGTCTATCTATTTTAAGCAGGAATCACCTTCCTAATTTATTGTGGGGCAGGGAAAAGGATTTAAATGTTCGGCTATGCTCCACTGTTCCTAGCCTCATGAAATGAAGCAGCAAAAGAAGGTAACTCGATTACCTTAAATCATTAGGATATCCAGTAGCTTCCTTTCACCACTAGTGTCTCGATGCTTAATCATCACTAAGAAACTTTGGGTTTGATTCTCACTTAATGTATTGGTCCTGCCAAAAGCAAGTATTAAAATATATTCATATAACCGTTGATTATCCATTAATCATTGATTAATCCCTCCACTCTCATTTACAAGACAGTTTCTAAACATGAGCTCTTTCAGCCTATTAAGGGTCAGAAACTTATTTTCTTTCTTGAAGGAATGAAAGCATAGTTTTGCAAGTAATATCTGAAGACCACCAGCTAAAACTGTGAAACCTCTGATCAAAACTAAAGATTTAGTCAGTAAACATATTTAAAACTAAATTAGTAATTTCCTAAATTCTGCATCTTAAAATTCAAAATTAAACATTTTAGATTATTTTTATCTTTGCTAAACTGAAGTATAAACACCAGAGAAAATACTGCTAACTCTATATGGGGCTTAGAATTTAAATCTTGCTGACTTTTGATAAAATCTATACTTCTGAATCTCTTGGATATATTTTCAACAAAGCTTTACCTTATTTTGTAAATGAACACTGCCAATTTTTAACATTTGCTTTGTTTTTCAGGCTGTCCTTCCTGTATGTGTCATCTAATTTTATTTTCATTTAATTTTTCCTCTAGATCAGTTTAAGTGTAAAAAAAAGAGGGTAAACTGTTCATTCTTGAAATCAAAGGGTCCTGTGTCCGCCATCATAAGTCTAGGAGAGAGTGTGTAGGCCAGTTTCTTGGCTGTCTGTAATCATCACACATCAATAAGTGCTGAGTTACAACAATACTACATGCTGGGGGGGGAAAAAATGACCCCTTAGATCTCTAATTAAATCACCCACTTCCCTCCCTCTAGCTCTACCCTTTCATTTGATGACCACTTCCAGAACCAGTGGGAGGGGGAAAGCAGCTACTGGGCATTGAGCAGAGGAATGGAGGAGGCTTTGTGGGTTGTTTTCCAACCCACACATCATAAAAGGTGGTTTTTCATTCTGATTTTGTACAACACCTCAACACCACAGAACCCCAGATAACGACAGGGTTTTCAGCACTCCTGTAATTCAATTAATGGACTTGGAGGCTACTGAAGTTATTATTTGGCATCACCAAGTGAAGAGTTGGGGGGCTGTAGCTCTACAGTCAGGATGCAGAGTAATATAATTACTTCCAGTCCAGACTTAAATATTGGCATTCATATAATGACCAATTGTAAGGGAATGTTTTAACTACTCAGATGAATGAGAAGATTACATTAAAAATCATTGTTGCATGAATTGTCTAAACTGTACTTTTATATTACATTTGGCCTTCAGTTTGGTAAGCCCAAGCACAGATCACTAACATGTGAAAGTCACACACTGCAGAGAGACTAAACCTGTGAATTTGCATTTGCACATTTTTTAACTCTCTGGGGTTAGTTCTGGATTACCTCTGATATGCAAAAAAATAAAAAATTTAAAAATAATAATGATGTCAGGGTGAAAATTCACATATGTGGGTAGCAGTGAAACAATGCTGTTTTGTCCATTTATACTCAAGAATGGATTTCATTTCAAAATGGGGGGAAATATACACGATCTGCATTAATTACGAGCACTATTTGAAAACCAGCAAGAAGTACAAGCGAGGCTATCCAAGGTAGATGAAAGCTACTTTGGTCTGACTTTTGCTTTCCTTTCTGAACTGCTGCTTCCCTAAGTGGCAAGCAGCGGAGGTCAGAGGCCAAACGAAAAGGATAAGCGTCAATGGGAGGCCCTGTGGTGTGACACAAGTGCATAGTGGTATATTGTCCACAGCCCATGAAGAACTTGTCAACAGCTCAGTGAGAATCCCTCAAAGGAGCGTCTACAGTTTCATTGCATCCTGCTCCCTGGAGGCAGTGGCAGATACCCAGGGAAGCAGCAGCTATATAAGCAAGATGGCTCTCTAGGAGCTCTGCTGTCTTCCAGTATTTGTTTTTATATATTGGCAGAAAAGATTATCAGTAGAAAATTCTTCCAAATAACTGGGAAGATCTATGCAAGCAAGAGCAGCTAGATTAAAAATTAATTATGCCTTAGAATGCTAGGTGTCAAAAATACAAAAATATTTACTAAATTGGATCATGTTTAAGCCCCTTCAAAATCTTCTTGTGACATCCCAACGCCCAGACTTTCAGTCTCCTGTGAATCATGAACTTACCTAAGCAGGACATCAGGCTTCTTGATGATCCCAGATTTGCTACAAGGTAAATAACTAAGACATAAAAAGTGTCTTTTTCATGAAAAATTGAATATCAAGTTATCCTCTGAAATGCAACCTCTTATAACAGGCAAGCTCTAATTCCTTCTCCCTGTTGCAGTTATCAAGGACAGCATGAAGAGCATCTACGATTAAATGATAATGGTCAGATTTTTCAGTCCTGTTATACAGCTAATGGAGTTGAGCAGAAGAGAATTTGTCTCATAGGTAAGTAGAAATTCTGCTTTTCTAGAAGAATCAGTTTAAAAGTATAAAATAGCACACACATTGCCTTTGCTCTGGTTTTATACAGCTCGTGGAACAACTGAGTAAGAGCCCAGGAAAGGGCTTTTAGACCTAACATCATACAAGTAATAAATCATCATCCTGATTCTATTTTGAAAAGAAAACAGGGAATAAGCTTGAATTTGATTCTGTCTGTAACAATACAGACAATAAAGAAGCTCACCAGGAAAAGAACTCAGAAAAAATTAAACAGCATCTGTAAAGTGTTGAGGGTGGATATTTAGTCAGGTTTGTTCATAAAGAAACAACAAGACTAATCAGAAAGTGAGAATATGGGGGGGAGGGTGTAAAAAGTGAAAGAAAGCAACATTTTGTCCTCTTGGCAGTGGATTTTAAAGAAACTGCAGCTTGTGTTTCTGTACAACAGGTAAGAAATGGGTTTGGGGATGCAAAGGATTTTTGCGAATCTCTTCTGTCTCTTAATGATTCAAGCATGCTGTATTTTCTACCTTACTCTCCAACTCTCCCTTAATCATTATTTTAAATACAATAAAATATGCAAGAAATGAAGATGGATCCCAGTGTCCCAGTCATGTAACTTTAATGCAGCAAAGGAGTTTTTGTCATCTGAGAGGCTGAGTCATATTTCTGTATTACTTTTAACCCTTTGTAGCAGCCTACAGGCATTTTGGCCAACTTCTTTGACTTTCAGCTGCATTACTGCAGATCAGCTGTGTTGAAATAAATGGGGTTATGGCAGCATAACCCAAAACACAGAGATGAACCAGACCTTGGCACTGCAAAAATGATGCCATTTGTGAGATGAAATGTTACATGTTTACATCCACTGCTTCCAAAGCCAGAAGAGCTCAGACTGTCTCACTGAGCAAAGTAAGATTGAGAGCAATGAGTTTTTGGAAAATTGACTGGCAAGGAACCAAACCATAACTCATAAATATTAGAAGATGAGTTGAGCTTCTCTGAATGAAATACTGCCCAAGTCATAATAAAATAAATACCTTATGGTTGTTAATAACAACAGTAATGTACAGTTGTTTAAACTTCTGAGGGGTCTTGAAAACGCTGGCAAATGTCAACCAGCCAAGCCTGACAGCACCCCACACCGTCAAGAGACACTGAGAGACAGCAGAAGCAGTATTTTCAACTGCGAGTTGAAATCAAGAGTATCCAGCTTGGATTAGGTCTTGCTACTCACACCACTGCCTGCATCTCCTGTTGATACTAGCAGGAACTGTGGTTGCTTCCAAAATTATGAAAATTTGGGTTTCAGACCCAGGCCAAAAGCTGCACAATCCCTCTTGCTCCAAGCAAGATACTTGCGTGCTTATGTCAGAGCTCAGTAGACCATATCCAACAGAAACCTTGGCACTTCATTCCCCATAGCTATAATGCAATCCCACTCTTAACACTAAGCTTCCCTAAAAGCAGCCTGCCCAGAGAGCACCTGAGAGCTGCTTGTTCAGGGAAGAGCAGCACCACGGTGACCAGGCTCACCGGGAAGCACTGGCCTGCACTCTGCCATGCTGCTCCTGCTGCCACGAGGGAGCAACTGCGTTTGGGCACAAGTGAAGTATATTGTGCTCTCTGCACAAAGCCACGCTTTGATAGCTGCCTTTAGGAACGGCCTGCACTCTGCCATGCTGCTGCTGCCACGGAGGAGCAACTGTGTTTGGGTACAAATGAAGTATATTGTGCTCTCTGCACAAAGCCACGCTTTGATAGCTGCCTTTAGGAACCTGGAGGAAGCCCCTTTTAAACACAGTTTTTAAGCCTTTGGCAATAGGAAGCCTTTTCGGTTTTTTGTCCAAGAGTTTCCCAGTAGGATATAAATGCTTAAGAAATCACAGCTACACTCACCCTCAGAGGCCACATTTACTAGTTTTGACTCATGAGCTCATTCCCCAATTATATCAGCAGGACATGGATGTGGAAGCTGAAGA